ACACGCAGGTGCCTTGTGTGTCTTCAAGCCAAGCCCAGGGATCCAAACCTACAGTAAGCCACGTGGCTTCCAGTATAGCAATTAGCCTGCCTCTGACTGGGACACCAAGACTAGGTCCCATTATACATATATACATATTAAAAGAGTTTTGCTATAGGGCGTGCACACTCGCCAGAGAGACTGAGACAGAGACTGAAAGTGAGAAATCGCCCCCCAGAAGAGATGGCCACATTGCAATCCCTTCTCCTCCAGTCACCTCTCGGGATTTGGGGCATGCACACACACACCTGGTGTGAGTTTTAAGTTGCCGGGTCCAGGACTTGAACTGCGATCAACTACATGGGAACCCAGTGACATAGCCATTTCACCATCTGCTAGTCCCCTGTTTTATATGTTAATCTATCTTAGCTGGGGTGTCCCAGCTGTCTACTCACAGAAGCAGAAGGAGACAACATCCTGGAGAAGGACCCTCTGTAAAAGGAGGACACAGAAAAGGAGCAGAGGTCAAGGGGAAGACCAACAGTGACTCAAAAGAGAATAAGGTTAAACAAGCAAGAGGCTGAGATCGAAACCAAGAACTGTAAGAGACAGCCGTGACTTCTTCCCCATCACAGCTGGCCAGACATGAAGCAATGCAGGTTCTGCCCCGAAACTCCCTCCTCTCTTTCTCCTGCTGCCTCTGTGTGAATGCAGGCCCTGTATCCCCTGGCGGGGTCACCTCACAGCCCCCCTCACTGGCCTCCGTGCTTCCGGCTCCCCCTCCAGCCTCCTGCCCCCTAGCCCCTATCCGCTCCTCACAGAACTTCCAGCTCATGTTTCTCATATACCGACCTGGGTGAGTCTCTCGCTCCGAGTGTTTGGTGTCTCCCCATCCTATTTAGAATGAAACCCAAATTTCTTTTCTTGGTTTTAAACCACCCAGGATATGGTTCAGCTTACCTAAGCGAGCCTCTGCTCCTTCCCTCTGTACCCAGGGGCACGGCTGGGCACTTTTCTCTCAGATGGCTAGCCTTTCACACTCTCTTCCCTCCCCATCTCTTGGCCTCACTGCCAAATGCCTGAATCACCTCTCCCCTGCAGCCAGCCTTGATGGCTTGTCTGTGGGCTGCCAGGAGCTCCCTGTCATGGAGCTTATCACACTCCATAGCCTGAGAGTTCTGGAGGTCAGGGGGCTGTCTTCTCAATCTGCATCCCCGAAGCCTCAGACAAGGCGCCCATGCACGTGGAGCAGAGAGAAAGCTAACGCAGCGAGATGAGATGGAAACCAGCGGGCCTCAGGGCAGCCCCCAAAGTGCAGTGGCTTGGCATGAGAACCTTGGACTAGAGGAGACTGGGAGGCCGCAGAAGCAGCCTCAGAACCAAGACCTCTCTGACGTTCTTCTCTCCTGCCTCTCACTCTCCTCCCTCCCTTGTGAGGCAAGCCAGAAAATAGGACCCTTCTTCCTCAAAGCCAGTCATGAAGCCTAGAAATATCACTGTAAACTTACTCTGCCTTTCTGTATAAGAGCTGGCCATAAATAAATTCTTTTTTTTTTTTTAAGAATTCTTTTATTTAACTTTATTTATTTATTTTAATTTGACCAGAGAGGGACAATGAGAGAGAGGAAAAGAGAAAGGAAGCCACCAGGTCCAGGACTCAAACCACAGTTGGCCATGTGTGAGTCCAGCACCCTTAACCCCCACGTCACCTGCTGGTCCCCCCCTTTTTTTTTTTAACTGTTCAAAAGTTTTAATGTATGAGAAATGAACTTTTAAGTCAACTGAAGTGTATGAAGAATAAAACAGCAAATAAATTAGACCCATGTTTAAACAGAAGATCAACTAAACGTCCAAACTGAAGGATGTTAACTCGCACCAATAGACTTTGATTCCAGTCTCCTTTAAGAAGGCAGTCTTGAGACTAGCAGATGGCACAATGGTTACGTAGCTGAACTCCCACATAGTCAACTGCGGTTCAAATCCCAGACCTGGTGATTTAAAACTCACGCCAGGGGACCAGCAGTTAGCCTAATGGTTACATCACTGGACTCCCACAAAATTGACCGTGGTTTGAGTCTTGGACCCAGCAGCTTAGAACTCATGCTAGGTGCATGTGCGTGAATGCCAAAAAATCCAAGAAGAGAATGGAGAAGAGGGGATTGTCTTGGGGGTGGGGGAGTTGATTTCTTGCATTCTGTCTCTCTGTCTCTCCTGCAAGCACATGTGCCCTATAGCAAAGATTCCTCTCTAAAAAAAAAAAAGAAGAAGAAGAAAAGAAAAGAAAGAAAGAGATCAGTCGTTCAAACACAACTTTGCTATGAACTGGTCCAGAGATTGGCAGCTTATGGGAATGCGTAACAGGGGTGGTGATCAGGGACAGGTTTCCTTGGAGACGCTTTGATGGTCTTGTCTACACTAGAATCACTTCTGCTGCTTCAGCCACACTCAGAAGAACCCGTCTGGGCATAAATACATTCTGATCTACCTTGTCTGATAGTGAGTCGTAGGACCCTCATTCCAGAAAGATCCTGCCCCATATCCAGGAGGAAGGACTGCCATCCAGCCAAGAAGAATTCTAACAGACAGGCCTGGCTGGCTTCTCCCTGGGTCTATTACCATTCGATCATACCCTTTGTACAATTACATTTCTTTTTTTAAAAAAGATATATTTTTAACTTTTTAAATTTATTCATTCATTTATTTTAATTTGACCAGAGAGTGAGACACACATACACACACACAGAGGGAAAGTGAGAAAGCAAGCCACCAGGTCTGGGACTCAAACTGTAGTTGACCATGTGGAAGTCCAGCACCTTAACCACCACGCCACTTGCAGGACCCGTACAATTACATTTCTACACAACTATCTGGTTTTCACTCGATCTAAGCATAAAATAGTTTTTTCCCGAGTCTTTGAGTCTTTTTGTTTTAAGTTTTATTTATGTATTTCTTCCAGAAGAGAGAAAGAGAGAGACAGTACCCTAACAGGGTCATTGTGCCCTGATCCATCCCCAGCTCCAGCCAGCTCCAGATCAGCACACGCAAACCCAGTGTACCCAGGGAGGTCTCTAGACAGGAACCCTACCACGTGGTCAGCTCACAGAGCATCACGTTTTACCACTGCACCACCATCTGACCCCAAGGTCTTCATTCTTGAAGGCTCTCATGTCAAGCATTGACTAAATAAATTTACTAGGAGTGTTTGAGAGTTTTTTGCTAGAGGGAGTGTGCACGCCGCAATCCCTTCTCCTCCATTCTCCTCTCAGGATCTTGGGCACACCCGCACACATGCCTGGCATGAGTTTAAGCCATCAGGTCCAGCACTCAACCGCGGTCGACTACATGGGAGTCCAGCGACATAGCCATTACGCCAACTGCTGGTCCCTCATAGGAGTGTCTTCTGCAACCCTTCTGAGAGGTAAGGAAAGAGACGGTACCTTTTTTTCTTTTTTTCTTTTTGGGGGGGGTGAGGATCATACCTTTCTGCCCTTACAGAATGCAAAGAAATAATAGCTAAGACTAGAAATGCATGAAATGCAAAGTTGCAGGCTCTCAAGTAGGAAAAGGAAACAGGAAACACAGTTCACACACATCCTGAAGATTTCTGTGCCACAGGACACCCAGACCCCCACCACCCCTGAGCCTGAAGAGGCACCAGTGTGTCCACTGCAACGGAGGGCTTCATTCTCCCCCAGCCCCAGCCCCAGAAACCCTCCCGATGGAATCAGAACATCAGTAGCTTTAATACTATTTGAGGTGGCCAGTCGGTATTGCCTCAGCCTTATGAAAATGGAATAAAGCCATCTACAGATACTTCTCTTTTTTTATGCCTATAACTTACAAGCTAAGCGAAAACTGGCTTAGGGTCAGCCAGGTGGCGGGGTGGTTAAGGCGTCGATACCACATGACCGACTATGCGGTTCAAGTTCGAACCATGCAACTCGAAAATCACGCCAGGTGCATGCGTGTACATGTCCAAGATGCTGAGAGAATGGGGAAGGGACCGAGACAAACCAGGAGGTGCTTTCTCACCTTCTCCCTCCCTCTCTCTCTCTCCAGCAAGTGCATGCACCCTATTACAAGTTAAAAATAAATAAAGACTCACGTACAAGAATATTACATTAATATTTTCCATATTAACCAAAAATCAGAAACAAGCCAAATGCCCATCAACAGAAGAACACATTAGAGTATATTCGTATGGGGCCAGCAGGTGGCATGGTGGTTAAAGGCACTGGATTTCCACATGACCAATGGAGGTTTGAAGCCCGGACCTGGCGGCTTGCTTTCTCACTTTCCCTTTCTCTCTATCTCTGTCTCTCTCTGGTAAAATTAAATAAATGATAATAATGAACGGAATTAAATAAGTAAATAAATATTTTTTTTAAAAAGTGTATTCATACAATAGAATATTACATAGCAGAGTCAGCCCGGGAGCCTAGCAGTTAAGGATCCCACATGGTCAACCACGGCTCAAATCCCTGCTCCTGCAACATGAAAAACAACCAAGTGCACTTGTCCCCAAAATCCCAATAGGACGGAGAAATGGAGAAGGAATTGCGGCATCCCCACATCCCATTGGGTGGTACTTCACACTCCGTCTGTTTCCGTCTCTCTGTGATGAGTGCCTGCGCCCTCTGGCAATCAAAACAGAAAGAATATTGCATGGCGACTTAAAAAATCAAACATGACCGAGCCGTGCAACCACACGGACGACTCTCACAAAAGCAGTGTTGAGTGCAAGACGCCAAACCCGAGCTAGCACAGTCTGCGTGACTTCATTCTTACGAAGCAGAGAGCAGACCTGTGCCAGAGGGTGGCATGGTCATTAAAATGCTGGATCCCACAGGGTTGACTCCACAGTTCAAGTCCCAGACCCAGCTGCTCGAAAAACACACCAGGCGCATTACACATGCATGCCCAAAATCCCACAAGGAGAACAAGAGAGAACGGACGGCGGTGTGGCCATCCGCCCCACAGGGATGATTTCTCACTTCTCCTCTCTCTCTCACACACTCTATGGCAAAAATCTAAAAAAAAAATAAATAAATAGAGCAGGAAGAAGCAATTCATGGTGATGGAGGTCCAGAGTTGTTGGTTACCTGTTGATGGCATCTTTCAGAGGAGGGCATGAGGGGACCTCTGGTGACCTGAAAGTATGTGCCTGCTGGAGGCTGCTTAGCTACGTATAGAGGGGCACTTCATCCGCTGCACACGTAAGCGCTCCCTTTACCGAAGTGCTATACCAGCAAAAAGGAGAGCGAGATCCTGAACAATTCTAGAAGCAATTGGCTCTGCCAATGCCGTTCCACGATCACCAGCTCACCAAGGCCACCAGCCTTCAGGCCCTTCGGGGTGGAACTCGGAAACTTCCGCTATGAAGAACTCGGGAAGCCGTCTGCCGTGTAGACCCCGGAGCGTGCGTCTCTTTGGCGCTGTATAAATCTGATCTGTGGGGGCCACCTGAGGTTGGGACGAAGCGGAAGGTATCTGGGAGCGGGATGAGACTGGCATCACCTCCGGGCGAGGGGCCACGAAGTCTCTCCCAAGCCGAGGCAACTTTTGGAGTGGAAGGAGGTCCACTGAGGCTTGGCCAGGACCGCAGGCAGAAACCTGGATGTCCCAGGCAGGGCGTCTGCATGGACCCTCTGGATCCAAAACCTGCCTGATGACCTGGAAAGTATGCATACTAGGACAAGTGTCACAAGTCCTTTGGGGACAAGGACAGGGGCGGGGGTGGTAAGAGAAGGAAATGGGCAAAGAGAAAAGGCGGCAATCAGCCGGGGTGCAGACTACACGTGTGCTCTTCAGGGAAACGGGCCTGCGGTCCACACCCCGGCTGCTCCCCCTTCTCCTCCTCGAACTGACTGCCCTTTCCCTGGAACTCCTAAGCCTGACCCTACTCCCCGGCCCTCCCAGCCCCCGGTTCCCCTGACCCCACTCCCCTTCCCAGAACTCAGCTGCCTGAACCCCTGGCCTGCGGTTCCCTCCCAGGCCTCAGCCTTTCCTGCCTTGACTGAAACAGCAGCATCTTCTAAGCCCTGGGGGCTTCCCCGAGCCCCAGCCCCGACCTAGAACCCGCCCGCCGCCTGCCACGCTGCCACTGCCGCTTCCTCTATAAAGGGACCCGAGCGTCCGGGCCCAGGGGCCCCGCACAGCAGGTGAGACGCTCCTGCCCCCATCTCCTTGGGCTGCCCGGGCACCAGCCTCCTGCCCGCGCGTCCTGCCCTTCTGCCTGGCCCCCGGCCCCTCCTGTACCTCTGGCCTGGGCCCCCAGCCTAGGCCTGGGCCTGGGCCTGGGTGGGTTTGGTTTGGGCTGTTCCCTGCCGCGCTGACTCTCGCCTGCCAGTCTCTCTCGCCTGTCACACATTCTCTGTTTCTGCCGCGACTCTGCTCTGTTCCCTTCCTGTCTCTTTTTGTCTCCCCCTGCTCATCGTGGGGTTTCCCGGCCTGCACCTCGTCCTCTCCTCTGTCACCTGCCTTTCAGGGTGGCTGACTCTGAGGGCGGGAGGTCCCTCTTCCAAGGCGCACCCCACCCCACTCACTGTCTCCCTCTCTCTGCAGGTTCTCTCCATGACACCATCTGGACGTCTCTGCCTCGGGAGGGTGCACAGCGCCCCCCTCCTCCTCCTGCTTCAGGGGCTGCTGTTGGCCCTGCCGCCCGGGGCCCAGGTGAGACAGCAGGAGACCGGGGCTGCC